AAGCATTTAGATTAATGTTTAGGTTTAAATCAACTATCTTGTGATGTTTCCATTGGTTCCATATATTCTTTGTTCTCTTTTTAAAATATCCCTTAGGCTAAATGAATATTTTACAATCTCTATTTTATCTCACATATTTCTTTTTAGGTGTGTGCCAGTACTCAGATTTGAACTCTGTACTTCACGCTCTCACATGGCTGTTTTGTGCAAGGCTGTGCTCTACCACTTGAGTCACACCTCCAATTGCAACACTATCTTCTTAGCTATAAGTTTTTTAGTGCTTGTTTAAAAGGTTACATTCGGGACAGCGGGCACCAGTGGTTCACGCCTGTAATCCTAGCTACTCAGGAGGCTGAGATCTGAGGATCGTGGTTCAAAGCTAGCCCAGGCAGGAAAGTCCGTGAAACTCTTATCTCCAATAAACCACCAGAAAACCAGAAGTGGCGCTGTAGTTCAGGTGGTAGAGTGCTAGCCTTGAGCTGAAGAGCTTAGGGACAGTGCTCAGGTCCAGAATTTAAGCCCCATGACAAAAAAAAAAAAGATTATGGGACAGATCCTTAATGTATAAGAATCTACCTTTGAATTATATTAACAAATAGAATAAAATCCTCAAAACTGTGCACTTTCATTTCACCTCTGGTTTTTGTGGCTTTATTGTCATACATTTAACTGCCATGTATTATAAATCCAAAAATATATAGTACATTGTGAACAATCACAAGGATTGTGTTATTTATTGTCCCTCTCAGATAACTTTGTTCTCCCCTATCTGATGTTCAATGATGAAAAATTAATGTATTTTGTCCAGTTTTTAGATGTTTTAGTTGGTGAAATAAATCTAGTCTTTGTTACTCCATTAGCAGATGAAGCATAAATGAGGCCTAATGTTTTAAGTGATGTTTAATCATGAAGACTTTATTTTACTTCAAACTGGAGTACACTTTTGATGCTGCCTGTGTCTCCTGTTACTGAACTGGCAAATTCAAACTGCACCACTCTCTCAGGTCACACAATGACCATTTCATTTGTGTTTGTTTTTTAATTCCTTCAGTGATTTGAATATTTCAAGAAAAAGGTAATTGTTTTTTAAATATGCTTTTATTGTTACAGTTACATGAGCAAGGTAATGAGTACATTTTCTTTCAAGCATTGTTACCTCCTCCTTTGTTTTTCCCCTACCATCTCTTCCCTCCCACTTCCACAACTATACTCCCTCCTCCCCCTCCTCCCCACTTAAATTGTAAAGTTCGTTTTTCAACATAGTGTCTTGTACATCTCATTGTTACAATGGACCAACCTGTATCACTATTTAAGCATTTAAAGCCTACGGATTGGGAGAAGATCTTCGGTAACCATGCAACAAACAAGGGTCTCATATATAAAATATATTTGGAACTCAAAAAATTAAATCCCCCAACAACAAATCCTCAAAGAAACAACTGCCCAATAAATAAGTGAGCTAAAGACTTAAAGAGAAACTTCTCTGAAGAGGAAATAAGAATGGCCAATAGATATATGAAGAAATGCTCAACCTCTCTAGCCATAAAAGAAATGCAAATCAAAACAACACTGAGATTCGTCACCTCAGTTAGAATGGCTATAATCAAGAAATCTAATAACAACAGATGCTGGAGGGGATGTGACAGAAGGGAACCCTACTGCATTGTTGGTGAGAGTGTAAACTTGTTCAGCCACTCTGGAAAGCAGTATGGAGGATCCTCAAAAGACTCCACATAGAGCTCCCCTATGACCCAGCAATCCCACTTTTGGGCATATACTAGAATGATCACAAACAAGACCATACTAAAGCTACCAGCACAACTATGTTTACCTCAGCATTATTTACCATAGCTAAGATATGGAACCAACCCAGATG